ATATATATATATCACTAGTTCTGACGAGTCAGCTAAAATGAACACCGTCCAGACAAGTACGAACCAAAAATAGTCGAGACAATAGCAAGCACATTTAAATAGCTATCCGAATTTTCGGACTCACTCTGAATAGAAGGTCATCGAAGGGTGGGAGGCATCGTACGCAATGGAAACCGGACCCTTAGTTGCAACGGCATGCTTCAGCGTCTCCTCATCTCCTATTAATGTGGGTGAGAAAGTTAATATCAATGCAAGCGGGTAAAGATTGAAAATGTTGCGTACTCCGAGCTGTTTCCAAACTATGCATACTGAATTTTAGTGCTCGCTGCGAACGACAACAACCCTTTTCAAATAATCTTGGCCCATTGAGCCAACACTCACTGAGGCTAGTGGGAGCAGAGGCGGACGCCCATACTGAAAGGAGGACAAACATTTATACCCGTGTACCAATCACACCTGAAGGTATGCTCACGACGTTCTTTACACGCGCTCCTGGATTCTCAACTTGTTCACCCTTCGGAATTTTGCACATACCATCCTGCATTCTATATGTGTACTCAGTCTCCAACATCAAACCACCTGCAAAGTAGGATGGCACCGCGAGATGATTGAAAGGTGCCAGAAGAAAGTCGAGCTGATTTCTGTGTATCATCAATAGACCATTATATGTACACAACACTGACAGAATAGCACCTAAACGCGAGTCCGTATTGTCAAGAAACCTATGGGAAAGCTAGCTAGACCTTATATCCCGAGGCAGACTGGCTTGTCACCTTAATATGTATAGTATATTTTCTCTCTCGCGCGAATTTACATCCATCATCTAGCATACCATACATCTGGGACACAGAACGGGGGAACACACCAGCATCTTGGACGTATTTCATGGCCATTGTCTCATCGCCACCATCGCAGCCAGAGCTTCCGTACTCCTTATCCCAAATACAGTCTACAAGCTGATCGTGTTGGCCAGGAGGTGATTCGAGTCAGAAATAACGAGAGCCATAGCTCAATTGAGTTACAGTCAACTAAAATTGTTATCAGTCGAATACGAGCTATCTATGACAATCGCACGAAGGCGTGACGCATACTGGTCTCTGCTTGCAATGCAGTCATGTAGTCGGTATGAGCTGATACGCTTGCACAAAGCTCACTGCATGCTAACATTGCGTGTTGCGCATATGACCTACAAGCATGGCTCGCTCGAAGGGCTAATTGCCCTGCACACTGCCATCGAGCAATTTGAGTATTCGGGTGTGAGTTCGTCCGGTGCGACACGTTAACCCAAGTACATCGTACGTACCTGTTGCTCCGACAGTAGCACTGGTTGCCCAGTGGTGATGAACCAGTGACTCTCTATAGTCTGGGCTGCCGAGAAACTCCAGCATGATCCACATGCTCCTTGATCCTAACGGTACAAATTTGAGTGACGAATGCAAGGTGAATCAACGTTTATTGGTTTGCACTGGCGCGATACGTAGTGTACATACCGCTAAACACCCGACAGATTGGTAGCTGATCCCGGAGTGGTGTAAAGGGCTACGAAAGAGTCTGAAGTGACAAATAGTGACAAACTCTAATATCTTTTAAATCGATCTTCTGGTGTGAACGATCTACGACCATACTCGCAAAATAGTTCAACTGAGTAATAAGCGAATATCGACAGTATGTGGACCGACTGTATCGAGTGTCATTTGTAACCAACATTCATCACCCTTCGTCATTCGCATCGTCTGTGTTGAGGCGCATAATCTACCGAGATGGATATATACTAAAACAAACCTAAAAAATATTAAAAATATTACCTTAACAGGGGATACGGCACCATCACGACGCCAGTCCACGTTGTCTGGTAGCGCTTTATTAGAATCAGTAATTGATTCATACGGCACTGTGGCTTGGTCTCTCTGTGCCTCAGATACAGGCTTATATCCGTTGTATCGAGTCGTCAGGACGTCTTGATCCATGAAGTGATTGGCGGCATATAGCACGCCATCGTGTTTCCTGTTCTGTGATGGAAACGGAGAATAAACACAAAGATTCGGATCGAGATCTAGGATACAATCTAATGACATGATTTCTATGTAAAAGGAGTATATATGCATAATTTGTTCCTGGACACTGTAGCTGCATGGTGTAATGGTTAGCACGTTCGCCTCTGAACTCAGAGCGTGACAGCGGGAGATTGCGGTTCGATTCCGCGTGCGGCAAAATTTTATTTCTTTTATTTGTTCAAAATTACAAAAGAAAAATGATTTATATAGCACACGGTTGCCAGTAATGCATACATACACCGGGAATGGAATAGATTTACAACTCAAGCAATATATATATATATATATAGTTATGCATGACGGTTGATAATCAAAAGGTGGATTCATTGATATAGACATCTGCATGGTGTAATGGTTAGCACGTTCGCCTCTGAACTCATAGTGTGACAGCGGGAGATTGCGGTTCGATTGTGTACAGCAAAAATTTATACATCAGAAATTTGTGAACAAGTTTTACCTCCTCATACCAAAGGCAGAAACAGCGTACTCGACATCACGATGTTAAACTGAGAGCAATAAGCAAAAGTATTTATATCGTACAATTATTGTTGCCTTAAACACAGATTGGGGACGAACCCCCCAAAAAAAGCCCGATGGCCAAGTTCACCAAAATGTGGGATATACCGCACATGTCGACGCTATTCAAATCGAGCAGTCACTAATAAATAGAGGAACAGAAAAATAACCACACGAAAAGATGTAGTTTTATAAAAGCAAAAAAAAATGTTATTTCCTAAACACAACGCCTTAGACCACTCGGCCAACCTGCAAATTTCATGACAGGTGCAGGACTCGAACCTGCGCATCCGAAGATATTGCGGAATTCATAACAGCTACGCTACCGTAGAATGGGAAAGAAATCCATTCTCACTATTAAATGGTGTGAAATTATGGTTTCAAGGAATACTTGTGATGGCTCGGTGACAAACAGGTATTCTGACGGTACCAACATGTCCGAATACGAAGAAGCACGCTCAGAGTAATCTGTAACATTGTAAGTCTAACATCTTGTACCGCAGAGTACCCCGAGAAAGCGCACACAACAATGCAGAAGCAGAATTTGAAATCATATCCAACTGTGGAACACACATGCCATCACTGAGTGCACACTACGCGCGCAACTATTGAGAAACACAATGCAAACCATGTGGCTACGCTCTGTAACCCAACCAAGCTCGATAAAAGGTGCAACTTTGCGATATCCACACAGTAGGCTCCGTTAACAATAGGTACAAATCTGACATTGACTTCAGTTGACAAATAGGCCACAGTTGTCGCTTATGTTAGCATATAATATTTGATTTATATGCACATCTATTTGATAATGAATGCATGCACAGAGCGTTATCCATATCATTCAAGACATATACAAGTTTTTAATATTGACAAACGAATAAATGCAATCTTATATCTGTGTAATACTATTCCCGCAGGTAGTTACAGATCAACAAACATACTTATAACATGTTACAATAACTGCAGGCATGACAGATAGGTTATGGTTGAGCCATATGTTAACATTTGTATTTGTTTATATGAGTATATACGTTTGATATATGAATACAGAACGTAATGTATATTTTTCAACACACATAGTTGTATTTAGTTTTGACGCGCGAACACGTGCGAAGCCATGCTTGTGTACAAGTCTATTAGATCAACAGACATAAACACACACATGGTGTAATATAAGCCGGCACGCTGAGTGTTTGGATTGCAGATGAATACATGTGTATTCGAAGTGGCAAGCGTAAGTGGATTTTTTATTCACGCAGACATACCTGTTGCTGAAAATATTATCATCATAGACGTATGTGTAGTAGTCAAAGAACGTGTGTAAGAACACTTACATTGCCACATACGTTATCAATTGTGGTGATCTCCTTTCGGCGTAAATATCTCTTACGTAAGAAAACATGTGCAAAAACAGATACGCGCGACCTTGCTATCGATACGCATCACAGCAAACTTAAAGGCTTTTGCAATCAAACATACCATTGAGTTCACCAGGGCATGATTGCGACGGAAATGGTCATGGGCCTTGTTGTGCTCTTCAAGGGTAGTGTACTGTCTGTGAGCCATTTAGCAATGAATTGTGCGAACATGGTATTAGATTGCCTGTGGGGTAGTGCGTATATGGCAACCGAAATATACGCTACTGTACACCGACTAAAATAAAATCCATGTGTACAACCCATACCATGCCTACGGGTCGTACTGTCCTTTAATCACAGTGGAGGGTTGGATCACTAGTGAATCAAAATTCGCAAGCACAAGACCCGATACTTTCAACACATGCACTCGGGGTCAACACAAACGCAAATATCCATACCTATTGTGCTTATCAGTGAAGTCTGCAAACATGGCTTTTATGTGTTCGTCATCAGCGTGCATGAGGTGGGTAATCTCGCTCAGAAGCAGCTGATGATGGTCCGCCTGCTTCGGTGTGGGCTAACAATCACGAGTGAATAAAACCAGATTATGTTGTAGTCGGAACTTCGCACTTTAAAAGAACGGGTTTCACTTAGATTGCAAGAGCCTATCATCCAGGCCAACTAGTGTGCAAATTAACCGGACGTTGGAAGCAAAGATAGTATTATACATGACTAGCGCTAGAATCACCGGAGCGGGGAGCGAAATACGTTGTGACTAAGTCATGTACGCGTGCACGACGCTTTTTAATCTAGATGCATATATTGAAGAGTTTAATACCATGCGCAGCACAAACACTAAGCTCGTATGAGTGAGTGACTCACACAGAGTGCTTAATACCTTCTTGGGCTTATGGCAATTCTCCGGTATCACGAAGGCATTGTCCGCGACGCCAGCAACGAAGTCTGAGTACACAATACGGTACAAATCGTAGTGGCTGAAGTGTCAAAGACGGTACAGGGGAAAGAGTTTAGTAAGGTGACACATTATTCAATGCATGTGATGTATCTGAAGCGCACGCACTAGCGATCAACCCCGTGGTTTCTCTGCTCTTTATGAAGACGACCTCCAGGTATCTACCAGAGAGGCTATATAGCAACTACAACTGCGGGTCTGTGTTTTAACTATCATTCTAGATTTCTGCCGCCCATATGCATCACTCTTATTTCCTCAGCAAACTCATGGTGTATTTATCACGAAGTAAGTCTTATTTGCACATACGCGCGTGATACAAACAGATATATAAATGTCACAAAAAGACCCAATCTCTTATACATTTGAGGGCAAGCAGATATTGATGTGAAGTCTATTCCAACAAATGCAAGCATTCATTGCCCACCTTGCAAAGGCCGCATCGTATCCCATCATGACGTAGACCACCGGTGTATGCACACCATCGGTCAGAGCCAGGAACGTATAGTGGTTGGTTCTCTGCAGAATGTCACCACTCTTCATCCATTTGTGGCACATGTAGCCCTCTTTCGCTGTGCGGGCCAGGGTTCAACGGTGTTAGAATAAACAGCAGCAATCGTAAAGCACTATTTCAACGCGGCGCATTGAGCGGCTTGTCCGGCACCTGCTTCGCCCGCAAGCACAAGTTCTCACTATACGCAGAAGCTCACTATGCACACAAGTTCACCGTAGCATAGGCTCGCACAGCATACCTTTGCCGCAATCAGTCTGTCCGATGTATTCGAAAGTTGTCAAGTCAGGAAGAAACGAAACTGGATACTTGGTGCGTTCGTTGACTGATGGTCCTCCGCGTTTCACAGATCTCGCGCACTTAGCCTCATAGCCCGCAATGTACGACTCGTATGACACTTGCTTCTCGGTACCCACGCCGAGATAGATGTAGGACGCTTGCCCTGTACGCGTAAGGGTTTTTTATGTGAATTTAGTAAACCGGCAGCATATGACTCCGAATACCTAGCGAACCCAATCTGCACGTGCAGGCAAAAAGATATGGGCCACTCGAGTTCTGTAAAGTAGCAATGCAAATTTAATACTATATACACTGTATCTATGCATCGAGTTAACTATGCCTAAAACTAGCACTTGGTAAAGAAAATACCTCCATAGTACTTCACTGCTTGTCGGTTGTTGGGCCGATCTGTGAAGACTTCGACAGGCTCGTAGATATTCGTGTATGGCAGACTGAAAATACCGGACACCGTGTAAGTATCGGGGTACTGGGTAAAGGCAAGTGCGGTACAAGCTGTTAGTTATAATCAAGGTTGATCGATGAAACACGTTTGATACAGAAGATTAAGGCGACAGCTCCGAGTACATTGAATGGGAGAAATAATAACTACATACATACCTATATACATACATACATACATACCTATATATATACATACATACGTACGTACGTAAGTGCGTATATACATACATGCATACATACATACATATATACATACATACAATATATATATATACATACATACATACATACATACATACATACATATACATACCTATATATATATATATATACATGTG